GGGAGATAAAAAGGAGCGAAAGGAACAAAAGAAAACACCTCAAAGACAGAGTAGGATCTTATTCATCCCTTTATCTCCCATAGCAAACAGCATTATGTACTACACATAATAGGAACTCTATACTTGTCTACTAAGTTGAATTGGATAGTCTTAAATAATTTATTTAAGCTTTAAAATAAAAAATAAAAACTATTTTGGTGTAAGAATTAAAAGAGTTAGAAGAAGAGCAGAATATTAGCATCTCTTATGTACAGCATATTTTCCTGAATCAATATAGGCATTTAAATAAAGTCAGTGTTTCCTAAATTTTGTTGGTTAATTTGTGATGCATTAATGAATGAATATAGTCTTCAAAAATATTTTTAGTAAAAAAAGAAAAGAGGATAGTAATATCAAACTCATCATTTCTACTAAGAAAAGGCTCAAAAATTAACTATATTAAACAGCAAAATTATTCTGTTCTAGAATATATATTAATTTGAATTGGTTTGTATTTTTTATTTCCACAAACACTTAAAACTTGAAAAAATTAGCTTCTATTGCAAGCAGACTTTTAGGATGCTTTAGCTGAACTGTATTCAATTAACAAAAGTTGTTTCTCATTTTGTTTTTGGTACATAATATTGTAATAATTAATAAACAGATTAATTAATCTGTCTCATTCAGATTAATAAACATGTTAATATTTAAAACAGATTAAAATATAGTGATGCTGTTTACTTTTTAACCCTTCACCTTGAAAGTAAAATAACCCAAAGCAAAACTTTTACAATAGAGAACAAAAGTTACTACTTTTAACAATTATTGCTAATTCTTTTTTTTTCTTTTTCTTTTCTTTTTTTTTTTATTAATTTTTTACAGAGAGGAAGGAAGAGGGATGGAGAGTTATAAACATCAATGAGAGAGAAACATTTATCAGCTGCCTCCTGCACACCATCTACTGGGGATGTGCACGCAACCAAGGTACATGCACTTGACTGGAATCAAACCTGGGACCTTTCAGTCCACAGGCCAACACTCTATCCACTGAGCCAAACCAGTTTTGGCTATTGCTGCTAATTCTTTAAAAATATATTAAAATTATAATTTAAATGCCAAAGGTTAAAAACAGAGAATCTTAAAATCAGCAAAAGAAAATCAGTTACCTACAAGGGAGCGCCCACAGGACTGTCAGCTGATTTCTCAACAGAAACTTTGCAGGCCAGAAGGAAGTGGCAAGAAATACTCAAAGTGATGAACAGCAAAAACCTACAACCAAGATTACTCTACCCAGCAAAGCTATCATTTAGAATTGAAGGTCAGATAAGGAGAAGCTAAAGGAGTTCATCACCACCAAACTATTATTACATGAAGTGTTTAAGTGTCTTAAGAAAAATAAATAAAAGATCAAAAATATGAACAAGGGAGCTCGGGGGTCGGCAGGGGGCAGGGAGGGGGACTCTGGGCAGCACTGGCGCAGCCTCTGGCTGGAGAGGATTCAAGATGACCAAGGAGGAACCTCTACCCAACAAGGTTTGCCTGAGTGAGACAGACTTCAAAGTTATGGCACGAGGTGGGTTAATTTTAAGATGGAAACAGTATTAAGCATATGTGCAAGCTTTGGGGGGCAAGTACAGAGATCTGTACTCTGATGATGTAACTGGCTTAAGGAAATGGGAAGAAAAACTAAAGCAACCGCAGCACGAGTCTGCTCCAATGGAAAACATCCTTGTATTGGGACTAGCAACCAAGGAGCAAGAGCTGCAAAAGCGTACTACTCAAATCCAGTATCTCAAGTAAGTCCAGCAGCCCATTGTCAGCCAGCTGTATCAACCATGGAAGACCCTGCCATCAACTTGTTTTTCCTAAAAATGAAAGGTGAACTGGAACAGACTAAGGACAAACTGGAACAAGCCCAAAGTGAACTGGGTGCCTGGAAGTTTACGCCTGTTAGGGAAACAAGTCACACTCCTCAGTCCAGGTCTCCCTGACAGTCGCACTAGGAGAAAGCTGTGGTGGGACAGTCAAGTACTCATTTCCACACCAAGACTCAGACTTTTTGAGCCACAAAAGCCACATTCTTATACTATCCAGCTTGTAATGGCTAATGTAAAACTTACCAGATGACCCTTGTGCTTCAGCTTTTTTCTCTTCCCCCTCCCCTTGCTTCAGAGGACTGATGGCGTTGGACTATTCCAAAGAAGTGGCCACCTCCGAAAAATCCCCCATCTAGGACATGCAGACACTTGAGAAATATTTCTGTTTGAAGAAAATAGAGGGAGAAACAGAAGTCTTGAGTCTGTGACACACTGTGTCTTCAGACAGTTTGGAGGAATGAAAACCTACAGATTTAAAATCATAAACTGAATGTGTAAAATTCCAGTAAAATGTAAAAATAGAATTTGCATCGCTCTTAACCTTGAGCATAGTGACTTAGAGACAGTGTATATCCATATTGCCTATAAGACTGTGGACTTCATGACCATTGTTGAACTTCTTGGTCAAAACTCAAATGAGGTGAGCCTTGCATTTTAAGGTTTTATTTGCTAGGAAACTACTTAATAGATATCAGTACAAGTAGTACATCTATTTAGCCATTTCGTTTTGGAGTCCGTTTTACTTGATTGAGCCTTAAATCAATGTGGTTTGAATCAATGGTCTGTTCTTTGAATGGCTGCTAATTCTGTAGATAATCTTACTGAAGACTATACAAACATGAAGGTGTGGTATCAAACTTCAGGTTTAAACTATCTGAAGCAATAGAAACATTCATTTCACGACTAGATTGTATAAGGATACTGGCTGTGATGAGACTCACTGTATTATTTTTTAATAATGAAATTTATTAAACCCTCATTCCATTCAACAGACACATATTGATACAGCATTGTCATTGGTGTTAACAGGGGAATGTGTTCCTTCATTGTATTTTGGGCCTTTGGTATTGAATTCTTGATATTAAATTAAATATGTCTTTTAAAAATGAACTAAATGGCAATAAATGCATGTCTATCAACAACTGAATCTAAAAATCAAAATAAATAAATAAGGAATTTAATGAACAAAATAAACTGATGAATAAAATAGAACCAGAGACATGCAAACATAGAACAGACTGATAAAGTGGGGAAAGGGCTTGGGAAGAGATTAACCGAAGAATTAAATGCATATATGCATTACCTATGGACACAGACAACAGGGTGGACTGCCTGGGGCAGGCAGGAACCAGGTGAAGGGGGGCAAAGAGGGAAAAAAAGGGAGACATCTGTAATACTTTTTAAAGGTTTAAAGAAAAAAGACTGAGGAAAAAGAGAAGATAGTAATATCTAGCAAACCCATCATTACTGCTAGGAAAATGCCTAAAGATCAATGGTATTAAATAGCAAAATTATTCCGCTCTAGAATATTTTTTAATTTGTATTTTTTATTTCTACAGACACTTAAAACTTAGGGTATTTTAGCTGAACTGTATTCAATTAACAAAAATTGTTTCCCATTTATTTTTTAGCAAGTAAAAATATTATTTTAGCAAATAAAATAATAGTATGAGCTAATCTTTAAACAGATTAAAACATTGGCATATTTATGCTATTTATTTTTAAATAACCCTTTAAAATAACCCAAAGTCAAATTTTTACAGTAGAAAACAAAAGTTACCACTTTTAACAATTATTGCTGCTGATTCTTTAAAAACATATGACAAAAATGCTTACTTAAAATCATGAACTGTTATCAGAGGCCCCCGGTTAAATTTCCTATAGCTTTAAGACCTTGGCCAAATTAATCTCTTATTCTCCATCCCCTCACCTGCAATATGAAGATAACAGGAGAACCTACTTGAAAGATTGCTATGAGAATTTAATGACTAAGTAGATTTATTATAAAGTATAAGGTGAGGTCTTGATAAATAGCAGCTATAATAACCACCATTATTTACATACACCATTATTTACAAGTTGTAATTACTTACAACTTGGCTATGCGTTATGTCACATTTTGCCAATATCACACATTCTCAGCTACCTTTTAAAAATATTTATACAGCCCTAGCTGGTTTGGCTCGGTGGATGGAGCGTCAGCCTGTGGACTAAGGTCCCATGTTCAATCTGGCCAAGCGCACATGCCTTGGTTGCGGGCTCCATGCAAGAGGCAGCCAATCAATGTTTCTCTCTCATCATGGATGTTTCTATCTCTCTTTCCCTTCCTCTCTGAAATCAGTAAAATACATTTTTTTAAATAATTTTAAAAATTTGTGCACAAAAATTTTCCTAGACATAAAGTTATCTCGTTGTAATTATTTACAACTGGGCTATGCATTATGGCATCCATCGCCCATAGGACCGGTCCTCCGCCCTCCTTCACAAATATGTCTTCCAAAGGAGATCGACGGGCCACATGGCGCCCAGTCCGCACAGGGGCTTCCCCGCGACAGGCTCCCCAGGCTGTGCAGGTCCCGGTGGAGCCCGGCGGGTGGAGCTGCGGGAGCCCGGGCTGGGCGGAGGGGAGGGTCCCGGCCCCGCCGCCCGCGCCGCCAGTCCGCCCTGCGGGATGAGTGACGGGACGGACGGCAGGTGCACTGCGGGGGCCGGGCTCCTCCGAGCCCCGCGGGGAGCGTGCGCCTCTGGGAACCGCCCCTCGGCTGGCTCCGGCCTCCCGACGGCGCCGCGCCCAGTCCACCCGCGGTCCCCGCCACCTCGCCGAGCCCAGGTCCCAGGGGTCGACGGGTCTCCGAGGGGACCGGCGGGCACAGCGTGCGGCGCATGGGGCCGGCTTAACCGTCCGCCCTCCGCCCCGCCGGCCGCCACGACGCCCGCCGCCCGCTCTGCCCGGACGCCCGGCCTCGGCCCACCTGGCGCCCCTCCCCCCGCGGCGCCGCCCGCGACGTCGCGCCCCCCCTGACCCCCCCGCAGCTCATTCCCGGCGAAGAGAGCCGCCCAGAGCGCGGGCAGCCCTCAGAGCGACGCCACGGAGCTGCCAGACGGCCGTCCCCCCCGCTCCCGCTCCGGCTTCCGAAGGGCGCGGAGGAAGATGGAGAGCGAGCCCATGGCGGTGAGGACGGGGTCGCGCCGGCCCCCGGCGGGCGGCGGGGGATCTGGAGCCCAAACGCCCCCTCTCTTGCGGGGAGAAGCGCGGACCGGACCGGCGGCCCCGTCGACCCCTGCGAGGAGCGACCGGCCCGTCTGTCAGCCCCGACGGATTGTGTCCTGGGTTCGGGAAGGCGCGGCCGCTGGGCCTGGTCGGGTCCAGGCAGGTTGGGGGTGGGGGGAGAACCTCGGAAACGGCCGGAGGTTTTGGGGGGCTGTGGAGGGAAGGGCCCTGTGCACCCGAAAGGGTCCGGGCTGGAGAAAGAGCTTTCCCGCCCAAACTGGGCTTTGACGCTCGCTCGCTCGCTCGCTCGCTCTGGCCGCCGCGAGAGGTTGTCGGGGCGCCGCCTCCTCCCTCCTCGACTGGCCCGTGGGGGCCCCCCCGAGGGCCTGGGAGAAGGGCGCGGGCGGCCCAGGCTGGACGAGACCCCCCAACACCCCAAGTGCACGGGTCCGAGCAGATCGCTGAGCAGGGGGAGGGGTCATGGAGGGATGAGAGGGGGAGGGGTGCGGGCGGGGCAGAAGGAGCGGAGTTGGCGTCGTCACTCGCAGCCCCGCCCCGCGCCCGCGGGGCAACCAATCAGCGCGCGCCACGCCGAGGCCGCGGGGTTAGCCACGCACGAGGCCGACGTCGGGTCGGTGCCGTTGAGGGTTCCCGCCACGGCTGCTGGCGGGTTTGTGGGGCAAAATTTCTCGCTGGTTAGCCTTTTTTTCCCTCCCGCACTTTGGTGGGGAGGGGGTGGACCCTCGTGTCAGCGCCCAAATTGACGATGACCCGCGAGAACCCGAGGAAGTTGTCTCCGCGGCCATTTCCTCCGGGGCCTCCGCCTGCTGGCCTCGCAGGGGACGGAGCGTCGAGGCCGTGACTGCGACGGTTAGCCGCCCCCTTCCTGACGCGGGCAGAGTAGCTGAGGCGAGGGGTCAAGGTTAATCCTCAGCGGGTGGCGGTGTCAGAGGCGCATTCCTTTGGAGGCCGTTTTGTTGTGTTTTTTTATATATATATAAACTCGGTGATGCTGGGAGCTTACTGAGCAAAGGACCCCTCTCCTAACCCAGTAACAGCCCCTAAGGCCGCACACTGGCTTTTTCATACGTTTGCAAAGCAATGGCCGGCGCGATTGGCGGGATTGGAGGCGTTGGTGTCTAACTCGCCGCATGGCTGCCCTTCTCTGAGGACCCGAGGGGTCGCCTCTACCAGCTAACACTCGAGTATTTTCTAGGCTCTTACTCATACTGCGTTCTGAGGCCTACAGGTCGCTGGTTGGCATGTGATGAGCAAGAAGCCATGATTTCGTCCGTTCCACAAACGTTTCCCGAGTCCCTGCTATGTTGTACCGTCACTGCTTTAGCTGCTGCAGTGAACAAAACGGGCAAAGCCCCTTCCCTTGTGCACAGTGCCTTGTGGCGGAAAGAGACAATCAACGTAATACATATTGTGTTGGAAAGGGATAAGTAGTGAAGAGAAGAAGCAGGTGCAGCCCACGATAGAGCAGGAGCCTTAGAATGGAGTGTACTGGATGTAAAAAGTTGGCCTTCGCCCTCACACCCCCAGGAGCGCTTTTCTAGTTTCTCTAGATTGGGAGTAAAGCACTCTGTTCACTTCCGCTCATGCCACGCCTCTCTCGATGATGAGAGCAATGGGGGTGGCTTTTATTTAAACACTAATGAGCTCATCCATTGAACTCATTTTGTAAGAGAATTTCATGAAGACTGATTTTTTTAAAGTTTGCAAGTAGATAATTTCTACACTTTGTAAACACGCGGAGACAAGAGTATATCTGTTCTATATTTTTTAGCAATACCAATCCACAGTTGAAAAATAAAATTAAGCATCCCAAAATCATCTATTCTAGGTACTGTGTCCTACAAGTGAAGTTAAAATTAACCTCCAAATGCCCAGAGAGGACGCTTATGTTGAGATTGGATTCCAAATTTCTTCAATTGAAAACAACAATATAGTAATTTTTAAATGTGATGAGTTCTCTGTGGTTTAATAGATGTTTTTGTGAACTGCCATATTAGGAAGAATGTGTTTTTTTCCTCTTACGACAACACGGAGAATAGAGCCCATAAGGCAAGCCTATAGCCTCATAGTCACCACTGGCCTAGTGGTTTGTGCATCTTGCAAAGATTCATTTAGAGATGATGGTTTATTGGCTAATGAAGTAAAGAGGAGACAAAATGTGAAAAAGAACAATTCCATTATCTAAATTGAAATTCATTTTTATGTATTTGTTTCTCTGAAAATTGAAATTATGAACTTCAAGCTTTTTTAAGAACTCATTTAGTATATTAGATTATCCCAGAAGTGTGTTTAGTGTTCCTACAAGGAAAATAATTAGCAAGTACTTGAGTTGGTTTCTCTTAATTCTATTCCCAAGTCTTCTTTTTTTAGATGTACCTTAAGAATCTACCGTGTTTCCCCGAAAATAAGACCTGCTTACAGGTTTCCTTCTGAGTGAAATATAAGGCAGCCCACCGAAAATAAGGCCCCCCTAGGCTAAACATGAGAGATTTGTTCCACTGATTCTGAAAGAAATGGAATCATAAGAAATTCACCAGGAAATTCAGGAATTGGATTGTTATGATGATGTTCCAGAAGATGATGACATGATTGTCATTGAATGAGTAAATTCTTGATACTGTAGGATTCACAGTTTGTCTGGTTTGTGTTGACAACTACCATATTACCGTACCGTATACAAGTAATAAATTTCTTTTATTTTCATTTAACAATAAATGTGTACCATATTTTTCATGGAAAAATAAGACATCCCCTGAAAATAAGACCTAGCGCATCTTTGGGAGCAAAAATTAATATAAGACACTGTCTTATTTTCGGGGAAACGGTATTATCTTGCCATTGTGCAAAGTCTTATATTCATTAAAATCTAAATTAGACCTCCTGACAGAACTGTGAACATATGACTATATACCGAGCTCAATTATTTGGTTTAAAAATGCATACCTATAGGTGGTACATGCCCCAACCATGGATTGAACCCTCAACCTAAGTATGTGCCCTGTAGGGGAATCAACCACAACCTTTTGTGTACAGGATGATGCTCCAACTCTCTGAGCCACCCAGCCACGGCTAGGTCTAGCATAATTTTTAATGAAATTAGTCAAATCTTCTAACTAACAAGTGCATTTTAAAAAATAATGTTAGAACTGAAAAACAGTAAATTTGAATGTCAGTGTTTATTAACTTGTCAGTGTTCTTTGGCCAGAAACTGTCAGGAGCACATCTGTAGTTTAATAAAATTGAATCTATTAAATTGTTGTCCTTCATAGGGTATACACCACAGGACCTATCAGTAAGATGATGTTAAAAAGAACTTACAGGGTTTAGGCTTGTGTTAAGCATTTTTTGGAGAGAGAGCAAGGAAGAGGGCTTTTCTCTGAAATGCATGTTGTCAGGATGTGGGAGTAATTGATTAGTATGTTAATTCTTATAGGCAAGAAATATAGATAATGCTAAAGCTGATAAAGAAGGAGGAGCAGTCACTCATTTCAGCCAGAATAGAGGGGTGTTTAGTCATTCTCGTTGCTTAGACAATGCTTTTGTTCTTGCCAATGTTCAGACGTTGATTATGGAATTTTATCTCGATCCACCACAATCAGAGTAGCCTTATTGGTGTTTTGTTAACAAGAAAATACCACAGCCTAGCTATGAGTTATAGGCCAACACCTAACACCACCAGGACTAAGTTGGTTATATGCCAGGCTAACTCCTAGCTTTCCAGGGCTACTTTTCTCTTTCTCAAATTTCTTTGAGTTTAAAATTCCTCCTTAATACTTAGAGTATTTAAATGGCAATAATATTTAAGTGGCATACTTAAAAATTAACATAAGTAGCCAAAACCGGTTTGGCTCAGTGGTAGAGCATCTGTCTGCGGACTGAGGGGTTCCAGGTTCGATTCCGGTCAAGGGCATGTACCTGGGTTGCGGGAACATCCCCAGTAGTGGGTGTGCAAGAAGCAGCTGGTCGATGCTTCTTTCTCATCGACGTTTCTAGCTCTCTCTCTCCCTCCCTCTCTGTAAAAAATCAATAAAATATATTTTTTTAAATTAACATAAGTATCTATATATATTCTACCCTGTTTCCCCAAAAATAAGACAGTGTCTTATATTAATTTTTGCTCCCAAAGATGCACTAAGTCTTATTTTCAGGGGATGTCTTATTTTTCCACGAAGAAGAATACGGTACACATTTATTGTTAAATGAAAATAAAGGAAATTTATTACCTGTATACGGTACGGTAGTACGGTAGTTGTCAACACAAACCAGACAAACTGTGAATCCTACAGTATCAAGAATTTACTCATTTATTCAATGACAATCATGTCATCATCTTCTGGAACATTATCATAACAATCCAATTCCTGAATTTCCTGGTGAATTTCTTGTGTCTCCATTTCTTTCAGAATCAGTGGAACAAATCTCTCATGTTTAGCCTAGGGGGGTCCTTATTTTTGGGGGGATGCCTTATATTTCACTCAGAAGGAAACCTGTAAGTAGGTCTTATTTTCAGAGGATGTCTTATTTTCGGGGAAGCATGGTATGTATGTATGTGTGAGAATATATATATATATATATATATATATATATATATATATATGCCTAAGCGATCATCCAACTGTTTGACCATTCACCTGGTAGCTATGATGCGCAATGACCACCAGGGGGCAGATGCTCCAACCAGTAGAGGAGGGAACCTGATTCCTTGTGGAATTGGCCATGGGTTAGGTTGCTGCTGGGGCACTGTTGGCCCCGAATCTGCTTCACCCGCACCCTAGACCCAGAGAGGAGGGAGCCTGATTCTGGGGTGCATCACCTGAGAACCTTCCTCTTGCAATCCAGGACCCCTCAGGGGATATCAGCTGCTTTTGGCCTGATCCCCACAGCCCAGTCTGAGGGATCCCACTAGTGCACAAATCTGTGCACCGAGCCTCTAGTGTTAATATATTTAAGGCTTTATCTATAATGGAGTAGATTCTACATTTCCTCTTTTTATGTTGCCCCCAAAAGTTATTAGCTTTAATTATAATTTTAATAAATTAGCATAAAATTAAAGTCTAAAGTATATTTTATTTAAATGACTTATCTTTTTTTAATATTTTTATTGATTTTTTACAGAGAGAAAGGGAAAGAGATAGAGAGCTAGAAACATCTATGAGAGAGAAACATCGACCAGCTGCCTCTTGCACTCCCCCTACTGGGGATGTGCCCGCAATCAAGGTACATGCCCTTAACTGGAATTGAACCCGGGACCTTTCAGTCCACAGACCGACACTCTACCACTGAGCCAAACTGGTTTATGCTAAATGACTTATCTTTTTGAAACATACATGTTTTCAGCCCGCATCAAAAATTATAGCCAGCCCTAACTGGTTTGGCTCAGTGAATAGAGTGTCAGCCTGCGGACTCAAGGGTCCTGGGTTCAATTCTGGTCAAGGGCATATGCCCCAGATTGCAAGCTCGATCCCCAGTGGGAGGCAGGCAGGAGGCAGCCAATCAGTGATTCTCGTCATTGATGTTTCTATCTCTCCCTTTCCATATCCCTCTCTAAAATTAATAAAAATAAGTATTTTTTTAAAGTTGCCCTAACCAGTTTGGCTCAGTGGATAGAGTATCAGCCTGCGGACTCAAGGGTCCCAGGTTTGATTCCGGTCAAGGGCATGTACCTTGGTTGTGGGCACATCCCCATTAGGGGGTGTGCAGGAGGCAGCTGATTGATATTTTTCTCTCACTGATGTTTCTAACTCTCTATTCCTCTCCCTTCCTCTCTGTAAAAAAAATCAATAAAATATATTTTTTAAAGTAATATCCAGTGTGCCCTAGCTGCTTTTGCTCAGTGGCTAGAGCATCCACCTGCAGACTGAAGAGTTCTGGGTTCAATTGGTCTAGGGTACATGTCTGGGTTGTGGGCTCATCCACAGTAGGGGGCATGCAGGAGACAGCCAATCAGTGATTCTCATCATTGATGTTTCTATCTCTCTCTCCCTCTCCCTTCTTCTCTGATATCAATAAAAATATATTTTTAAAAAAAAAAAACTTTTTTAAAGTGATATACAGTGCTAAAAGTTTAAAAAGAATTTTTATTTTACAGCAAACATCAAATCAGACACAAACAGATTCATTGTCTTCATCCCCTAATCCTGCATCACCTGTGCCTTTGAATAACCCAACAAGTGCCCCAAGATATGGAACAGTGATCCCTAATCGCATCTTCGTAGGAGGAATTGACTTTAAGGTACCTATTTTAGTGTACAACATGGTGTAATTTTTGCATTAGAAGTTATTTTATTTCTCGGAAATTGTTTCCTTGTACAACTATAAAAACAATAACATTTGCTATTTGTACCATGATTAATAGTTTTCAAATTGTCTTAATATAAAGAATATTTTTTTAAACAATGGAGTTTAAATTGAGCATATATAATTGTGCAATTTCACATACATGGAAATTGAGGCTCACTGACCTATCTATAAGTCTCCTAGCTACTTAGTGACAGCATAAAGACTAGAATCCTACTTTCCTGACTCATAGCTCTATATTCTTCATTTCACCACATTTTATTAATTATACTTTCTTGCATAGTACTCCAGTAGCCCAAATAAGTGATTGTAATTTGCAAAAGAAGACTCAGAAAAACCCAAAACTTGTCCTATGAAATTCTGTTTCTTTACCCCAACTTTTATTTCAGATTCCTGAGTACCCTCCTTGACTTTCATCTTTTGCAAATTGCTTCCTATCGCCTTACTGAAAATTTGATTACCCAAACAGGCCTGTGTTCTTATCAGAATAAAGCATCTTAACAGTAATATATTTAAATGAAGTCAGCTATTTCAGAGAGGCATACTTTGTGAGATGTTTTACAGTATCCCCATATAGTAAACACCTACAGAAAAGGCATAGAAGGATATCTTAAGTGGAATCATAAGCAACTATAAGAATGGTTCACTAAAAATAAAAGTGATTTCTTATGAAATGCTTATTTTTAAAAAGATTTTATTGCTATGGAAAATATTAATGGCAGACCATAAATATTCAAGTTAATTATTCTCATTCAGGATTTATATTAAAACAGCTTAGTATATTTTAAAAAATAAATCATTAATAAATTTAAACATTTGTATGGCTACATTAAGTGACTGGTGTAGGCCAACATAACTTAGTTCCACTGCCTTCATGTGAGCCCACTAGGAACACGTTTCCTCCACTTTCTGAAAGTAGAGCATTCCTATGAAACCTTTCATAAACTGAAATGTTCTAAAGCAAGGACATAAATACATATGGAAAATTTTTAATGTTTCCCAGGCCCCCCAAAATACCATACCAAATATGTTTAATTATTTCCAGTTTTAAGCTAGTAAGCATAGCATCTTTATGCACTCTCTTAGGCTTTTCTGACACCTAAGGACACATCTTGTTCAGGGATAAACAAAATAAATTGAGAGAAAGCACAGATGCTTGCAGGCACAGTCAGAGCCATAGCAGCTTGATGCTGAGCTTCCGAGTACAGTTCCAGAGAAGGAGCTTGGCAGGTTCCCTCTTCCTGTTGGGTTGCAGCCTCTATAAGGGCTTGCTGCAAAGCAAAAGCTGAACTTTTTCACTTTTTGCCTTTTCTCATAAAAGCAGAAGTCCTCTTTGAATTCCTGTTGGTTAACCAAAGAAGGTACTAATGTAGGTCTTCTGTAAAAGCTGTGGTGTAAGGCAAACCTTCAAACAGCATAGGATGCCTGAATTTCCTTACTATAATTATATTTTTCAAATGGCCAACTCAAGAGTAAGAACTCCTTTAAATACTGAGCTTTCTTTGTAGTTTTAAAATAATTCAGCTTAAAACTTTTTACTATTTTTAACAATGTAGTTACTGCATAAAGTATTTACATATATTGATTTTAATAACCTAGTGGTTTCATCCACTATTTTAATGAGAGGTATTCTTACATTCATTCATATTATTTATTTGTAAACTTTTCTGTCTCTAAAACAGGCATGTGTTTTTACATCTTTTATCAATTAAAAAAATGTTTTTGTCTTTTTATGCCATTAGACAAATGAAAATGATTTAAGAAAATTTTTTTCCCAATATGGATCTGTAAAAGAAGTGAAGATTGTAAATGACAGAGCTGGAGTGTCTAAAGGGTTAGTATCACTATAGATAGTACATAGAATTAACAACTGTGTCTTTATTGGGTTACTAGAATTTGCATGCTAACTTACTTTGGTTCCATTTTTTCAAAGGAGATTTTTGTGCAGTCTTCTTTCCTCCTACCTTTTCATCTCGTGTGTGTGTGTGTGTGTGTGTGTGTGTGTGTATGTGTTGGAGGAAGGGGGACACTATAATTTATTGGGAGTTATTCTTGCATGGGCTAAGGAACCATTCAGTGTTACATAGCAAGCACTTAATGCTGAGTAGATAATGTCCAATAGCTAAGGAATCAGAAGCTAAAGGAATCAGATATTGTTGGAATCACATACCTGCTTTAGATTAAAGAGAGCTTTATTTGAAAAAAGCTGACATATGGGAATCTCTAGATCTCAGAGATTTAATAAAGGGACTAATCTGAGAAATATAACCCAATAATTTTTAATAAGTAAGGAGAATGAAAATTGAGAAGAAAGCAGTAGAATTTGTCTATAAATGTCTAATGAACTTAGAGCTGTTTTAGTGGATTAGTATATGCAAAAGTCAAATTTCAGAGAAGAAAAGGTAGTTTATATAGTGTACTTACCTAAGAAGTTTGACTGCAAAGTTAAAGAAAATAGTTAAGGCAGTGGAGATTGGAGAAAGATTGTATTTGTTTTCTTGAGAGAGAGGCCAGACATATGTATTTATAAGCATAAGAGAATGGACCAATGAAGTGATAGAAAACTATATAAGAGACAAAAAACATGACAAGTGGGTACTTTGGAAGAGATAATGGGATTCTGCAGAGAGGATTTTTGTTTTGTTTTTTAAACAGATGAGCTACTTCCTCAGACTGATGAATGATTTATATAATAAAAGCCTAAGCAACAGTTACAGCAGACTGACTGGTCTCTATGAGGCACATTGACCACCAGGAGGCAAATACTCAATGCAGGAGCTGCTCCCTGGTAGTCAGTGCACTCCCATAGGGGGAGTGCCACCCAGGCAGAAGCCAGGCTCAGGGTTGGCAAGCGCAGCAGTGGTAGTGGGAGCCCCTCCTGCTTCTGCAGCAACACTAACGAGCAGCAAGCCAAGCATTAAGGAGCAGTGAGCAGTAAGGAGCGAGAGGTCCCAGACTGCTAGAGGCTGCAGGCTGGGCTGAGGAACAACCCCATCCCACTGAGTGTACAAACTTTGTGCACCAAGCCTCTAGTCTTAGGATAAAAATGAGATTGTATATCTTTTGTTTAGCTTATAGAATTGGCAGTATTTTATTTCAGTAATATTCTTTTTTATCATTGACATATGCCTGGTGCATGAAATTCATACACTTGCAAGGGGGAAGTCCCTCAGCCTGATCTGTGCCCTCTCATAGTCCACAGTCAGGGGAGACCTTGGTGTATGTCCAACTGATAGCACCAGCCACCACAACTGCACTCACCAGCCATGAGCCCAGATTCTGACTGAGCAGTCTTGCCCCTGTGGGAGTGCACTGACCCAGGGGGCATCCTGCATTGAGAGTCTGCCCCCTGGTGGTCAATGTGCATCATAGTAATCGATCATTCTGCCATTTGGTTGATTTGTATATTAGCCTTTTAGGATAATCACATAGAAATACATATAAACTATTTTATGCTTTTTTTTCCCTGGTTGGTGTATATGATCTACCAAAAAATTCAGTGTAAGAATATTTTCTTAACCCTTGTTTAATGTTTAGCCAAATAAAAAAGAGAAATTCCTTTGTTAAAAAAAATTATACAGTAATTAAGAAAATAAGAAACATAATACTACTCAAAAAAGTTTCCTTAAGTTATCTAAATAGAAATTACATTTTAGAGGGATATACTTTTTATTTCTTTTTGTCTGACTATTTTGGCTTTTTTTGAACATGTATTTTTATCTTGAATGTTATATGAATTATATTCTGAAAGTAACAATTATATATGAAAAGTAGGTGTGGCGAAGCCGGTTTGGCTCAGTGGTAGAGCATTGGCCTGCAGACTGAAGGGTCCCAGGTTCGATTCCGGTCAAGGGCATGAACATTGGTTGCGGGCACATCCCCAGTAGGGGGTGTGCAAGAGGCAGCTGGTCAATGTTTCTCTCTCATCGACGTTTCTAGCTCTCTAGCTCTCTCCCTTCCTCTCTGTAAAAAATCAATAAAATATATTTTAAAAAATAAATAAATAAATAAAAGTAGGTGTAAAGTCTGCATTGTACCTACTTCTAGTTTAATTTGATTAGGAAATACATAATTGTGTTATCAGTTTATATATGCTCATAATAGTAATTAATATATTTGTATACTCATTTACCAATGTAAAAGTTTATTTGTGTTGAAATTTTTTAATTAAAAATATTTTTCTATTAAAGCCAAACCTCTATTATTTTAAAAACAGATTATTGCTCTGGGCTGAAATTTATTGCATCCTAATTTGTAAGCCAAAACATATATCTCTCATGCTCTTCTGTCTTACACAGTTCAGATCTGAAACTATTTCAAGATTCCTGAGTTTTTTTCTTTTAGTCCCCTGACTTTAAGAGGAAGTGATAGTGTTAAGTTTCACTATCCTGTAAAAATTCTCCTAAGTTTTTTATGCTCATGCACCATAGAAAAATGTTCACTCCTATAATAGCCCATTCTTAAAAAATAAATTTGTTTTTAATTTTTAATATAACTCTAAAGTAATGTTCTAAGAAAATAATTCATTTATTTAGGTATGGTTTCGTCACTTTTGAGACACAAGAAGATGCCCAAAAAATTTTACAAGAGGTAAGATATTTTAACTTTCTTTTTGGAATTTCTTTCAAAATAATTCTTTGTGGTGTTTATTTTAATAGTACAGTACTAGTACAATGATCAGTTGCTAAATTTTTTTTAACTTATTTGCATCTTAAGATTGACATTAGCCTACAAAATATTGAATTAATTTTTAAAAAGTATTAAAGATAAATTTTATCTGCAGGGAAAAAAATCAAATCATTACATGAGTATGGTTATAGAGTTGTAATCTAATTTTTTACTTTATTTGCTTAAGGTAAGAATGTAAGTGTATATATTTTCTAAGTGTTAATAGCACTTTAAATTCCTAAAAAACACTATACATATGGTTTTCTATAATAGAATGATATTATCTTTGATTATTTCCCCTCCTATGAAAATCTTTATATGAACTAAGAACATTCATATAAAAAAAAAAATCTGTAGCCTATAATTTGAGGTAATAACTTAAATTTGGCAATTGTGACATTTAATTTTTTAGAAAAAATAGTTTTTGAGTTGTATATTAAATGATACGTTCTCAGTTCTCCTTGTTTATAGTACCAGTGTTCTATAAAGTCACCATAAATACTGAATTAACAAATATTGAAGTGATGTTTCTAGAAGTTGTATACGGCTAGATTCCCACAAGCTTCTGCCCACAATATTTTCATCAACCAATCAATACATAACTTTATTTTATGTGTTTCTGTTTAAAGACATACTTAGTATTTATTATTGATTCATTAAAATTGATTTCATGGACCACAGCACTGCAGCTCATGCCTGAATTAAGTCTACCTCTCCTCCCTAAGGCACATGACAGCCTTCTTACGCCTAAGAACACTGACCAGCACCTCAGCACCACTCAAAGGCCATTTTAAGTAGCAGAATCCCCAACATAAAGACAAAAATGCAAAACACATGGCCCCATATAGACCACAAAAAGGACACTTGTTTACAGTATAAAAGCTGAAATAAGACAGTGTCGCCTTCTTTGATCTCAACTGGAACCATGTGTGTCAGACAATTCACATTTTTCACCTCTGCTATTGCCAACTAATAACTGCTAAATTGCCATGAGTATTGATTTTGGAATTATAAATAAATTTTAATGAATAGATTAATTCCCAAATCCATGAATAGATGATAGACTTTATTTCAGATGAGGAATTAGGATCAAAGCACTAGATTCGGACCTCGATCCGTTTAAATCCAAAAACTTTATCCTTTCCACTATAATTTGCTATCATCAAAGAATGTTATAATCTGAATTTTAAACTGTTTCTTACTGCCTGGCTGGCATAGCTCAGTGGTTGAGCATTGGCCTATGAATCAGGAGGTCGCGGTTCAATTCCCAGTCAGGGCCTCTGCCTGGGTTGCAGGCTCCATCCCCAGTGTGGGGTGTGCAGGATGGAGCCAATAGATGATTCTCTATCATTGATGTTTCTGTCTCTCTTCCTCTCTGAAATCAATAAAAATATGGGGTTTTTTTTAATAAGTAAAGTGTTTCTTACTAGTTTTCCTTAATTGTTATAAACAATAGTACCAAAAGAATAAAATTATTATTTTTTTTTTTTTTAGGCTGAAAAACTGAATTATAAGGATAAGAAACTAAACATTGGTCCAGCAATAAGAAAACAGCAAGTAGGGATCCCTCGTATGTATTAACACCCAGTGTATTTTTCAATATTTTTACATAGTTCTTTTTTTTTTAATATTAAACTTTTGGTAGAACATCATTAAAATATATTTAAATATATTTAAAATTTCAAAAGTAATTTAGAATTACTAACTAGAAAATTTTCTAATTAGAAAAGTAACTTAAAATTATAGTGAAAGTACTAAAAGTTAAAATATAGACCTAATGTCAGAAACTGTGGTTATATATGTTCTATAACCCAACCACATGTCAAAATTATCAAAAGGAACAGTCCCAAAAGCTTAAGAATTGTCCAAATTATGTGCCTTCCTCAAATTTCTATAATGCTTTCAACTCTTCTCTTTTTTTTTCTCACTCTTCCCATTTATTAAATTGGGCCTCTTTATAGATTTTAGTTATAATTTTTATTAAAATCTCTAACAAAGTCTTCAGCTAAAAGGAGCAATGTCACATAAAATTAGTAACTAAATTTTCTTACTCTTTATGTCTGTCCTAGTGTCTGTTGAAATGTTTAAGACGTTAGGTACTTATTATACATCTGTTGACAAATTAATAGGTTGTGTTTATTTGGACTGTTCTGTTTTTGACTTAGAAGTTAACAGATATAGAGTTTAATTTTGATTTGGTATTTATCAATTTAGAATTTGCAGGGTGGAACCAAAATGTCTTCCAGAATGTCTTCTAGAATATCCTCCAACTTCACTGGGCTTTTACAAATAAATGGTCTTACTAAAGTCTTAGGAACTTGACTACAGTGACTGTATAGTAAATAAAATACATATAATTTACATTGTAAAATAATTACTTTGCTAATCTATTTGTTAACTTTGTGTTTAATTTTACTGACATTAAAATCTGAATTAGTGAAATTTTAGTATTCCTTATTAAACTTTTTTCTTTTTTATGCACCTTAAGCTAATAAAAGTTTTAAGGTAGTAAGTTTGAAAATTTATACTTCAAAGATATTTTAACATATGGAATTAAAAACATAACATTCAATTTTTACTATAACTGTATAGGTGTATTAAGATAAACGTTTTCCAGTGTTGAGAAATTACAGTGTTTAAAGTTAAATTTAGCATTTTAATTATTATTATGTAATCTTTACTTTAGGTTCCAGTATAATGCCAGCAGCTGGAACAATGTACCTAACAACTTCAACTGGATATCCTTACACTTATCATAATGGTGTTGCTTATTTTCATACTCCAGAGGTAACTTCTGTCCCGCCACCTTGGCCTGTAAGTAACTTTGTTTTAGAAGGGTTTCCATCTAGTACATAAATTTTTAAAGTATTTTATTTCTAAAAAGTGTCAACCATAGACAAGTACAAATCTATATCCTATCTAATAAGAGTATATGCAAATTAACCATCACTCCACCCACAAGCCATGCCCACCAGCCAGTCAGGAGTGAATATGCAAATTAACCCAACCAAGATCACTGCAGCCACAGAGCAAGCAGGAAGCTTGGGCTTCCCCGGACAATGGAGGAAACCAAGCTTCCTTGACACTCTGGCTGGCCCAGGCCTACACTCAAGGCTACAAAGTTTCAATTATAGAAGATAAATAAATCCCAACAAAAATGGCAGCAGCCACATAGCTGCAGAGAGCAGGAGGCTTGAGTTGCCCCTGGCAATGGAGGAAGCCAATCTTACAGCCCTGGCCTGCCTTGGCCTCTACTACAAAGTTTAAGTTATGGAAGATAAATCCCAACAAAAATGGCTGTGGCCACAGAATGAGCAGGAGGCTTGGCTCCACTCAAGTCTACAAAATTTCAGTTATGTAAGATAAATAAACCCAGATACTAGGGCCTCCGCTTGGGTCACTGGGGGGCATGGCTGGCCTGCAAACCACCACAAGCCCCTCACTAGGCCACTCTATACCCTAAGGGAACCCCCACCCTGATCCGGGACACTCTTCAGGGCAAACCTGCTGGCCCCCACCTGTGCACTAGGTATCTATCTAATAAAAGAGTAATATGCAAATTGACCATCACTCCAACACACAAGATGGCTGCCCCCAGGTGGAAATAAGATGGCCGGCAGGGGAGGACAGTTGGGAGGGACCAGGCACGCAAGGGAGGGCAGTTGGGGGCAATCAAACCTCAAAGAAGGGGAGTTGGGGGGAGACCCAGGCCTGCAGGAGATAGCAGTTGGGGGGGACCAGGCCTGCAGGGGAGGGCAATTAGGGGTGACCAGACCTGCAGGGGAGGGCAGTTAGGGCAAACAGGCTGGCAGGGGAGGGGGTGATCAGGCTGGCAGACAGAAGTGGTTACGGGCAATCAGGAGGGCAAGTATTTGGGAGCTAGCAGTCCTGGATTGTGAGAGGGATGTTAGACTACCCATTGGGAAAATGACATTTCCAATAATAAACTATAAGCTGCCTAGGTTTAGGTAACAATTTGAGATAAATTTTATTGTAAACTATTTTAAAGAATTTTGTCTAAAATAATTTCCATTTTCCTTTCTCACATAGTCACGTTCTATATCTAGTTCCCCTGTGATGGTAACTCAGCCTGTTTATCAGCAATCTGCATATCACTACCAGGTAAACATTAGTACAGAGAAAATCCTTCTTGATCACTTTAGTCTTTTTTTTTTTTTTTTGTATCTTTCATTTTATTCTTTCTCATGCAAATACTCTAATAATTAAAGAGATAGTTAAGCCTTGATAGCAGTGTTTTTGTGCGGGGGTAGGGGAAGTTTCTTACAGGGGCTTACAGGAGGAGTAAGCAATGTCATAAAGGATGAGATTGATAGGGAAGATCAGTAAGGAGGAGGCTTGACAAGAGTTAAGAGTGCTATGGCACTTCCCTTTCTCCTCAACCAAGTGAAGAGGACTTCTGAAAAAAATAAGCTTAATATTCGTTGAAATTTGTGAGATGGTATCACTTGGACCGGATCTCTCCTAAAAAAGTTCAAAGAAAGAGCTGGACTGCTCTATGGGAGCCAGAGCCAGGAGAAAAGGTCTGCAGTGGGAATTGCATGGGAATGAGTCAAACTTCTCACAGCAAGCAAAGGCTAGTTTCCCAAGAGCAAGGTGTGAACCTCACAGAAGAAACTCTTGCAAAAAAAAAAACAACTCTATAGAGAAATTACCTTAGTAGAGAAATAATCTGTGTAAACTTCTAGAATCCGGGGCCAGAGTGGTCTCTCTGGAGTTAAAAGTTCCTAACTAAAGAGTCAGCATTTGGGTTCAACCACACCCAAAAGTGACATGTCCTAATTTTTACCTAAGGGAAGGAAGACTAGCTCAGTTCAATGCTTTTAAATTGGAGGGTGAAAAAGTAAAGTCACTCTCTGCTTGCACCATATTGAACCAGCTCCTTTATTGATCAACATACAGCTCTAGCTCACTTGACATAGCAGACGTATTCTGGAAATTTTCTAATGCGACTTAATTTTATACTTTAACTCTGGTTTTCTACTTGCAGGTATAAAACAAAGTATTTTGCCTTCATATACTTAGGAAAGATTTTGGTATCAGTTTATAATATATTTTACAATATAGCAAATAATTTCACTTCACCTATTTCTTTTTTTGGAAAGGACCATTTTTATAAATTTTACCCTTTCTTTTTACAAATACAAGATTTATAGCTTTATGAATTTTTGCTAATCAGATCAGGTAATTCATGGTTTAGTCAGGTTATATCTCCTTTGTGTTTCTCACTTCATAAATAGTGATTTCATTTATCTAACAAATCTATATATAAATCATTTTATTTCAAATATTTTTATTAAAATATTTTCTTAAACCTTTCCTCTCTGAAATCAATAAAAATACATTTTTTAAATGATCTTTTGAGGACTCATACAAGTTAATAAAAGGAAGATAAATGATCCAATAAAAAAATAGCAACAGACCTAAATAGATTCTTCTTGAAAGAAGACAGAAGGAAAGCCAAGAGACATATGAAAACATGCTCAAAGTCACTAATTATCCAAGAGATGCAAATCAAAACGGCAATGAGGTACCATCTCACACCTGTCAGAATGGCTGTCATCAACAAATTACAAGTGCTGGCCAGGATGTGGTTAAAAAGGAACTCCTTTGCACTGCTGGTGGGAATGCAGCCTGGTGCAGCCACTATGGAGAACAGTATGAAGTTTCCTCAAAAAACTAAAAATGGAACTTCCATTTGACCCAGTGATCCCACTTCTAGGAATATAGCCCAAGGAACTAGAAACACCAATCAGAAAGGATATATGCACCCCTATGTTCATAGTAGCACAATTCACCATAGCTAAGATCTGGAAACAGCCTAAATGCCCATCAGCAGATTAGTGGATTAGAAAACTGTGGTACATCTACATAATGGAATACTACACTGCTATAAAAAAAGAAGGAATTCTTACCATTTGCAGCAGCATGGATAGAACTGGAAAGCATTATGCTAAGTGAAATAAGGCAGGCAATGAAAGAAAAGTATCACATGATCTCACTTGTTTATAGAAAATAAAACTATAACTTAATGAACAAAAAGATACAGAGTAAAACATGGAACAGGCTGTCAAATTACAGTGGGGAGGCTGGGGAGTGTTGGAAAGGGAAGGAAAGAGATCAACCAAAGGACTTGTGTGCATGCATATAAGCATGACCAATGGACACAAGACACTGGGCAGGGGATGGGGATGGGATGAGGGCATGCAACAGGGGGTAGGGGAGGCTGGGGGAAGGTCAATGGAGGGAAAAAGGAGATAAATGTACTACTACATGTAATACTTGAAACAATAAAATTTTAAAGGATCTTCTTTAAAAATATTTTACTCCTTCAAATATCAACATTCAAAATAAATATATCATTTGATACCCCCAAAATAAATTTTTTAAATGTGATCTTTTGTGATTATTCTTTCACCTAACATAATGTTTTCAGGATTTGTCCATGTGGTAGCATGTATCAGTATTTCATTCCTTTTTATGGCTGAATAATATTCCATTATATAGATATATTACATTTTATCTATCCATCAGATGATGGACATTTGGGTTTGTGTGGGGGGTTTTTAATTTGGGGACTGTTGTAAATAATGCTGCTATGAACATTTGTGTACAAGTTGTGCAGCCATGTTTTCATTTCTCTTAGGTCTTACCACCTCAAAGTCAAATTACTGAGTTTATATGGTATCTCTGTATTTAACTTTTTGGTGTCATACTGTTTACCAAAAAGGCTGTACCATTTTACATTCCTACCAGCAATTTATATAATGTCTTCACATCCTTGCCAACACATCATTGATTTTAATTTTTATGAAGTTCAGTTTATTGTTTTTCTTTTCTTGCTTTGTTGCTTGTGCTTTGATGTCATAATTTTAAAATTTGCTTGATTCAAAATCTTTTTGTAATAGTTTTATAGTTCTAGGTCTTAATTTTGGTCTTGGATCCATTCTGAGTTAATTTTTGTTTATAGTTTGAGATATAGGGGTCCATTCTTTGGCATGTAGATAATCCAGTTTTAACCCTTGTTTATTATCTGTGGGGTCTTTTTTCTTTCATTTAGGCACCTGCACAGTGTCTACCAGGTCAGTGGCAGTGGAGTGTTCCTCAGGTAAATATTAACTTTCTTCACTGTGCTTTTGTGAATACTGCATGAATATTAAAATCAGGAGAACTAGGTTAGAGACCCTCTCTTATTTATTAACTGTGATACCTTTGGCAGTTAACTTAATCACTGTATTTCTCCGCTTCCTCATTTGTGAAATAAAAATAATGAGACTACTATCCCTTTGCAATTTTTCTCACATGATTTTTGTAAAGATCAAATGAGACTATGTAAGTGAAAGCATTTTATAAATGAGTGTTGCAAAAACATGAAAAATTACTTTTATTTTAGTATTATTGGAAATTTTAACATTTTTCTAGCCTTCAGATTTTGCTCGTTTGACCTGTGCTCTCAAATAAGTATTCCATCTCCCAACTTTGATAACAAATAGTATCCCACCAAAAGATGGTTTCATCTTTTACATTTTTCCACCTCTATGAGAAGTCACAAAGCTGAGAATAGATGTTTATGATCGTTTAAATACCATCAGCTATATTATTACAACCTTTAGTAGTGATCTTAATATAATTATCTGAGTTTATAGATGAGGTTCTGAAGCTCTAAGAACTTATAGTCCTTACTCGTAATAGTTTTTTAATGATATCTACACAACTAGAATTTATAAACCCAGAGTTCCTAATTTGTTGCTGGGATATTTCTAAGCTATCCCTGAAAAAGAACTTCAGGAAAATATGAAACAAATTTCTCTCTCATCGGTTGGGTAAATCATTTGGTTTAAATGAAATAACTAATCATATTTGAATTGAAACTATGGTTTTGTGTTTCAGTCTCCTGTCTCTTCTGCTCCGTTCCTATACCTACAACCGTCTGAGGTTTTTTATCAACCAGTGGAAATTGCACAAGATGGAGGATGTGTTCCTCCTCCGCTGTCTCTGATGGAAGCTTCCATTCCAGAAGTACGTAATAGTCTCCAAGTAATTTATCTCTACTACCTTATCTTACATTTATTTCTTTTTCTTTTCTAAAAGTATTTGTTCAAGACCTTCATTGAAGCTGCATATTTTATTTTTCACTTTTTTATACCTAAGAATACTTCATCTTAGATTTCTTCACTAATTAGTTCAGAATAATTTCTCAAATCAACTGTTCACTTTACTAGGCTCATTCCTGACTCGATCTCCTTTAAAGAGTAAGATACCAAACACTGCTTCTGATTTGTCTAATTTATATTGTTGCTAACATTCTGTCAATTAAAATCACATAAAAATTAAGTCAAGAAACAATATTTTAAAAATTCTTCCTTCAAAAATGTAAGTCAAATTTATTTTATAACTATAGATGGTGACTGCATGTCTTTAAATTATATTTTTGAACCATTACTAATAACCTTACCATATATTTTCCAGGAACTAACTGTACATGCATGTTTTAAAACCACTACTAATAATCTTACCATATATTTTCCAGGAACTAACTGTACATGCATGTTTTAAATCAGTGTTGTGAAAGATTAGAAAGTTAGCACCCACCTCCCAATTTAAATGTTTTGTATTATTTTCATATTGCTAACGCTTATAACATTATAATTTTGTTCTTGAACAATAAATTGCACAGATGGATCTTAAGGATTACTAAAAAATACCTTTACTGGGATTTCTTCATTCTTCATCTCATCCTACATTTATCACTTGTTTGATTGCATCTGCAAGTACTCTTTATTAAAGAAGGCACATGGATGCTATGTTCTTTGAGTTCTTACATTCTTGTTCAACATGTTTTTGTCTATAAATTGGAAAGAAATAAGACTAGCTATAAGAGAACTGCTGAGCCCTAGCTGGTTTTGCTCAGTGGATAGAGCATTGGCTTATAGACTGATGGGTCCCTAGTTAGATTCCCGTCACTGGCACATACGGTACCTCCCTTGCAGGCTTGATCCCTGGCCCTGATCAGGGCACATGCAGGAGGCAACCAATCGATGTGTCTCTCTCAGATCAGTGTTTCTCTCTCTCTCCCCCTCCTTTACACTCTCTAAAAACCAATGGGAAAGTGTCCTTGGATAAGAATTAACAAAAACAAAACAACTGCTTGATACTTGTATTAGTTTACACAAAGGCTGATGGAACAAAGTACCACAGACTGGGTGATTTAAACAATAGAATACAAATTATGTATATGTATATCACTTTTTGTCTTTCATATCTATCATCTCTCAGGTAGTTTTTTTTTTTATCATGGTACTTGTTTTTATACTTTTCAAGGTAACTAAGATATTTCTCATTGTGTTTATTCTATTTTTATTATGACTAATCAGGCTTTCATTTCTTTTATATATTTTATTTTATTTTGATAGTCCTCACTAGAGAATATTTTTCTCATTGATTTTTGGAGAGCAGAATGGAGGGAGAGAAGGAGAAAGAGAGAAACATTAAGACACATTGATTGATTGCCTCCCACATGCATCCCAACTATGTGGTGAATCAAATCTGCAACCCAGATACTTGCCCTTGACTGGGAATCAAACCTGCGACCCTTCGTTGCGCAGGCCAGCACTCTAATCACTGAGCAGCCAGCCAGGGCAACATCTCATCTCTTTTATTTTTAATCTTTTTTATCTCAAATTCTGCCAGTTGGTTTACATCATTGTCTTATAAATTTATATTGGCTTAAAATCTCTCTTGATCTCCTTTTTAGAGATCATGTTATTATCATTTCTTTAAGAATCAAAAGAATTCTATTTATCTAAACTTTACCACTTTTTCTAAGGTAATTTCTCACCTTTTTCTTCAACTTTTGTCTTTCCTTAATGTAGTTGGAGATGAGGCAGTATGCATGTTTAAGGGGCTTGCTTTTCCTTTTCACCTTTATGCTAATTTTTACATGAGAACAGCTACTTGTCAAAATAGAGGGTAGGAAGATCAGGCTGTTTGAAGGTGCTTTCCACTCTGTTGTAAGTGTCCTGGTTGGGATGCTCTTCCCTCAGTTTCTAGCATTCTGGGAATCATTTTCTATATTGGGTTGTAGTAATTGCTACCTCCCATTCTACCTTCAATCTGTTTCACCTCCAGCAGTGTTCCTCAGCTATAAGGCAGGGCAGTAGATTTTTTTAAATGATGAAAACATGATTTCTCCTTCAATTCCATATCCCCTGCTATTATTATAAATAATATGAAATTGCATCTCTGTGCTGCTACATTTGAGACTTTTTCAATAGGTCTTTTAGAACATTGATTTTTAAGCAGATCTTTATTTTTCCCGAAGTCTGAGGAGGCTTCATAAGTCCTCTTTTTTATGGGTCCCAAATTGCATAGCATTTGTCAGATGTTTTAAATTGTTCATGGTTTGGGAATAATCGGTATGTCCTTGTTTAATTGATGATGGCATTTTTTTAAAAATCTATCTTTGGTTCTTTTTTTTTTTTTGGTTTTCAAGGGGAGGGGGAAATGAGGTAGGAATTCTTTAACACTAGATTTTTAGCTACAATCTACATTAGGTATTAAGCCAGTGGACTCTAATAAGATTTTTTCTGGAGCTACTACTTATATTAGCTTATAACTGGTACTTTTTCTATAATATTTTCATAAAAATGTTATATGCATGCTTTTATTTTAATGTTGTTTCTGGTAGAAGGTGTAGGCAAAGATATAAGTTAATTAATAAAGTAGGTTGCTAAGTAAAAAACACTTTAGATGGAACCATTTTGCTTTCTACATACCACTGCTACTAGAAGTCCTACAAATACCTCAAATTTTATAGGTTGTCCCAAAAAAAGTGTGAACACACTGAATAATTATAAAGTCATTGTTTATTAAAATACATTTTATTTTCAAAATTGAGCTATCAGCTGTTAAAGTTTATATACATTTTGCGGTGACACCCTATATTATAATCCTAACTTCTTCTCTCCAACCCCCTTACACACAATTACATAAACATCATACTTGCTTTTCTTGTATTCCATATCTCAATAAATGGTTCCACCATCTGTTGGAGAAGCCAACTGTTCCCTACCTTTTGTTCTAATGTCTCTCTTTCAGCTCTCTTTTAGTGTATATTCTTTTCTCCAGCCATACCAGACAACCTACACAGGTCTTCCAAATGAGATATGTTCTTGGTTGCCTCAACGACTTTGTGCATACTGTTTCCATCTTCTTTCCCTTATTCTTCAAATTCAGGCTTCAACTCTACTAGAAAACTTTCTCTTTTTTTAATTATTTCTTTATTATTTCAGAGAGGAAGGGAGAGGGAGAGAGAGACAAAAACATCAATGATGAGAGAGAATCATTGACTGGCTACCTACTGCACATCCCCAACTGGGCATCGAGGCTGCAACCCAGGCACATGCCCCTGGCTGGAATCGAACCCGGGACCCTTCAGTCCGCAGGCTGATGCTCTATCCACTGATCCAGACCAGCTAGGGCATTCTCCAACTTTCTTAAGTTAAATCAACTAGTTCTTATCTTTTCCTCCCATGCATCCCTAAACATGTCTTATAGGTCTTACAGTAATTTTGACTACTTGTCTGTCGAAGATCAGTCTATAAGGTAAAGATGGGAGATGTGTTTAACATCTGTGTTTTTTCATTGTGTAGCAAAATGCCTAGTACATTGTAATGTTGAATAAATATTTTTAAATAATAAATGAAAGGCAATACATTTCTTTTTTTGTAATAGCCCTATTCTGATCATGGAGTTCAAGGAACATATCACCAGATTTATGCTTCAAGTGCCATTGCTATGCCTGCACCTGTGATGCAGCCTGAACCAATTAAAGTAAGAAGTTTGTTTTGAGTATTTTTTTTCTGTTTTTCTTTCTTGCTCATATTTCAAGTTTTCCAACTTTCTCTTCTGAAAGGAACAACTTTGGAGAATTATATCACATTTGTGATCAGAAATACAGAATTAGTGAATTATTTCATGTGAAGGAAATAGAACCCCAAATTAACTGTAATTTCTATTAGTTTTGAATAAGTAATAAACCACACATGATCAAAAATGCTTTATTTACTTTGGTAAAATATATGTAACTTAACATTTTCTATTTTTAAGTGAAACACTTAAGTGGTAACTACCACAGTTATCTATTTACAAACTTATTAATAATCTCAAAAAGAAACTGTAATAATTTCTCATCCTCACTTCCAGCCCCTAGTAACCTCTAACCTATTTTCTGTTTTTATGAATTTGCCTAGATATTTCATATGCTCATATTTTTATTATCTATATTAATGGAAAGTAAAATTTATGGCGGAAGATCCAAAATGGCAGTGGAGTATGTTATACTCACCTTCTTCCAGGACCAAACTGGAATTAAACTAAAATACAGAACAAGAAATCTGAATAGCCAATTGCAGATAAACTGAACAGAAGTCTTATAACCAAGGATTTACAGAAGAAGCTAAATCCAGACTGGTATGAAGGACAGAGATGCACAAAAGGCTGATCCTGCACCCATGGGTGGCAACTGAGATTCCAACTGCTTCAAGTGCCATTGCTACGAAGGTTACCCCTAAGAAGAGTGGGTCTCAACTCCAAGCTGGGCTCCCCCAGAACACTAGATCCAGGAAGAAGCACCCACATAACATCTGCCTGTGAAAATCACTGGGGATTCTTTCTGCCAAGGAGAGACAAGAGTCCTCTAGAGAAACAGTGCCCTCAAAGGGACCATGCACAAAATCTCATTTGCAGCCACTTACCCAGGGCTTTGGCAGAGGGAGGGCAGAGCCACACACCCCAGAGGAGAGACTGGGGTGTGTGGCTCTGGGAATACAGCTGAAGACAGCCACCAGGACCCCTGTGCTGAGTCCCTCTTCCCACACCACAGATGCCATCTTTCTTCGTGGAGCACTCCCTCCCTTATGACATCACCCTGAGGGAATGCAATAGCCTTACCGTCTGGATTCCCTGTAGCCTCACCTTGTGGACTTCATATACTGCTGAGGAGTCAGCTGTCTGGGCTGGATAGACTCAGGGGTATCAGTGACTGGTGTGGCTTTGTAGTGAGGGCCATTGCCCCCACTTTCCCATGAGCCTAACTGGCGCCACCCCCTAACAGAAGATATGCTAGCCTCTCCCTCCAAACTCCTGGTGGATCCACACTGACAAGGTCTGGGCAGAATCCAGGACAGACGGAGTTGCGTGGCTCTGTGAAAGGGGCCATTCCTCCCTGCATCTCTGAAGCCTGACTGGAACCTCCCCCTCACAGAAGATCTAGCCCTAATCTCCCAACTCCCAGAGCCCCTCCCTGCTGAGCTTCAGCTCCTGGCAGAATCTTGAACAGACTTAGTTTTGTGAGTTGTGCACGGGGGCTAATTTTTCTTTGTACACCAATGCAGAGCCTCCCTCATGCAGCCAAATCTTGGTTGGCTTGGGCCTTATAAACTCTACTGGCCTCACCCTGATTACTCTGTAAGACCCCAACTTACCACAAAGATCTGTGGACCCCTGTATGGGACAGCTAGACCTAGTATACCCTGGGACATTTGCTGAGTGGCCTCAGACCTAGTACAGGCACTCAGTTTGAACCTGTATCAGTCTGGTGAGAAACATTTCACCTCTACCTGATGACTCACTGAGAACCTCACTCATGCAACTCAAGAACCACCAGAAGCTCTTTCAGTGATTGAGTCTAACAGGCAGCCAGCAGATGGAGACAGATATTCGGTGCCTTGAGACTTTTGCTGGCCTGCCCCCAGGTCTGGTGCTAATAAAAGCCAATCTTGGTGCATAGTTTGGTCCTCCCTGTTCATACCCAAGCCCCACAGAAGTAGCTATAAACTATGTATAGTTTTCTAGCTCCAAACAGGTTACCTTTCCTGGGCCAGTCACAGGTCAAACATAGGTCTGCCCCAGAGTTCCTCCCAAGAGGCCCCAAAACAAGCACAACCAGTGGCCAGCTTCAGAAAACAGAACAGGATCCAGTAAGCTTCACAAGCAGAGCATCCGCAGGAAGAAACCCATGCCATTGCAGTCAACCCTGACAGCGGTGAGAACATACATACAATGGAATAAAGATAGTCCCTCCGATAAATGGTGTTAGAGACTCTGACAGATACATGCAAAACAATGAAGTTAGACCACCTTCTTACACCACACACAAGAATAAACTCTAAATGGATTAAAGGCTTAAATGGAGGACTGGAAACCATAAAATCCTAAAAGAAAACACAGGCAATAAAATCTCAGATATTTCTGATAGTAATATTTTTTATATATCTATTTGAGCAAGGGAAAAGAAAAAATAAGCAAATGGGACTACATCAAACTGAAATGTTTTTGCAAAGAAAATCTAAAATGAACAAAGTGGAAAGATAACCCACTGAATGGGAGAACATAACCAATGATACATCTAATAAGGGGTTAATATTCAAAATTTATAAGGAACTTGCACAACTCAACAGCTAAAAGAAGCAAGAAATTCCATGAAGAAATAGGCAAAGGATCTGAATAGATACTTCTCCAAAGACGACATATAGATGGCTCAGTGTCACTAATTATCAGAGAAATGCAAATTAAAACCACAATGCGCTATCATCTCACATCTGTCAATATGGCTATCAATAAATCAACAAAAAAGTGTTGATGAACATGTGGGAACCCTTGTGCACTGTTGGTAGGAATGCATACTGGAAAACAGTATGGAGTTTCCTTAAAAAATTAAAAATGAAACTGCCTTAAAATCTAGCGATTCCACTTCTGGGAATATATCCCAAGAAATCAGAAATACTGATTTGAAAGAATATATGCATTCATATGTTCATTACAGCATTATTTACGATAGCCAAGATTTGAAAACATCCCAACTGTCCATCAGTAGATGAATGGATAAAAAAGCTGTGGTACATTTACACAATGGAATACTACGCAGCTATAAAAAAGGAGGGAAACCTTACTTTTTGTGACAGCATAAATGAACCTAGAGTATTATGCTAAATGAAGTAAACCTGACAGAGAAAGACAAATACCATATAATTTTGCTCATATGTGGAATCTAATGAGCAAAATTAACAAGCAAAACAGAAACAGACTCAGATAACAGAATGACAGCTGTTAGAGGAGGAGGGGATTGGGTGAAAAAGATGAAGGAATTTTTTAAAAAGCTCATTGACACAGACAATAGAATGGTGATTACCAGAGGGAAAGGTAGAAGAGGGTAAAGGGGAGATAAATGGTGACAGGAGACTTAATTTTGGGTGGTAAACAGACAATACGATATATAGATGATATATTAAAGAATTGTGCACATGAAGCCTATATAATGTTATTAGTCAGTGTCACTCCAATAAATTCAATAAAAATTGAAAATAAAAAATAAGTCCTGGCCAGGTGGCTGTTGGTAAGGCATCCTGTACACACAAAAAAGGTAGTAGGTTTGATTCCAGATCAGGGCACATACCTTGGTTGCAGATTCCATCCCTGACTGGGTGCATACGGGAGGCAACTGATTGATGTCTCTCATATCAATGTCCTCTCTTCCTCCCCTCCATCCTCCCTCTTAAAAAATATATTCTTGGATGAGAATTTATTTGGGGGGGGGGGCGCGAAGGAGGGAGAAACTGAGAATTTAAAAATAAATAAAATTTATGGGGACATGAAAATATTTAATTTCTTCCAGTTTGGGAATTGTGCTCTAAATCAGATCCAGGCCAGAGAGTGATCATCTAGTTAGACGAGTGTATATATTCAATAGATTTCAACTCTACTATATAGCAGGGAATTCTGCTTGTTCCCATCTGACCTAGTTTCTTAGTAAAACTCTTGCATCATTACTGATTAATAGTATGGTCATTTGAATCCTGATTGCAGGATACTTTGGTAAGGAAAGTGGGCACACTCTTTACAGTAAAATGAGATTAGCTATTCACACTCATATTTATGCTTCTGACCCATCCCAGGTGTTGGAACTCCATATTAAAACAGTCGACTTTAAGGAGTCTCCTCACCCTGTTATCTCCTCACTGTCGTCACTCACTGCATTCCTTCACTGCAGATCTTGAGTTTGTACTGCAAACATGAAATAAAACCCCAATTTTGATATAGTCTCAAAGTCTACAGTGTTACTAAAGTATCAAAATGTAAAACAGACTTTCTTTGATTTTAATACTTTCTATAAATATACTTCTCTTGAATTAACCATTTTATGTTAGTTATGTGCTACTTATTTTCAGTTATATATCTTAAATATATACATAGATGTAACTGATTGAAGTTTTACTGCTTGAATAATTCCAATAGATGATGAACTGATAACCTATAGGATAGGAGCAACTTCCAAAGAATGTTAAACATGTTTTTAAAGTGACATTCTTTTTGCTTTAATATGTTTTGTCTTTTTGTGCTTTTGAAATGAGCTCTCAATTACAGAATATCAAACTGCACTTTAAAAATCCAGCATTGGCACAATATGAAGCCCACAGCAAGGACAAGTAGCAGCAGCAGGGGGCAAGAGGTGGGAAGTGACTGAAGCAGTGGTTATAAATAGTCACAGAAAGCTAAAACTATCCAGCAGGATGTGCCCACAGGTTAGACTAGTTACTACCTTGGTCAGTGGCCTCAGTGTATTTGGGTTCAGATTCTACATGGCAATACAATTTCTTCCAGTTAAGAGTTCTTGGCCTGCACCAATCTTGGTGACCAGTTTCTTAGGTTTTCAAAAAGCTGTGGAAGATCAGATAGAGGCACTGAGAGGCTTTGGGGGCCCTATACTTCAGCAAGTGTTTAATTGGGGTTTTCTGACTGAATATGTAGCTTAGCCAAGATCCAAATGCCATTAA